CTACTTTTCAGTTTTTACCAACATCAACTTCCAAATAAATGTTTAACGTTTTTCATCGATAATCAATAAGCCCAAAACCTTGGTAAATCCTTTTGACGCTGATATTTATCGTCCTTGCAAATAAAATAAGTTAGAGTCAACCGTAAGAAACAATACGCAAAGAGCATCTAAATCATTAGAGCAATGGAAGCTGCGAGTATAGCGATTTATGTCATTGACAAGGCACTTAGCTTGCTAGAAAAAGCCAATGGAGACATGATTAGTCTGAAACTCAAGCTGGAGAGTCTTCAGGAATTGGTCATGAACAAAGACGCACAGAATTGGATCGCGGAAGAATGGTTGACGGATGCAGCAAAGGCGGCGCAACGTGCAGGGTACGTCTTGGACATGTACCTTCTTCAGGCTGCAGAGCGTCCAGATTTAGTTATATGGTCCTCCAAAAAGGTGACTACCCGAATAAAAGGTTGAAACCAGAAGATGTGGCAAATGAGATTAAACGGATTTTAAAAGGTATACGAAAGTTGAAAAAATGGGGTTTAGAGAAAGATTTATTTTCATTGCCGAAAGGATTTTGGAGAAGGAGATCCAATCTTAGTTCCGAAGAGAACTCGTACAGTTCCAGTGAAGAAGATCAGATTCTCGGAGATTAAGTCATCCCGCATCATTGAAGAAGGTGAACTTGTGGGCGTTAAGGCTCAAAAAGAAGAACTTGTGAGCATGCTGGTTGGAGAAACATCCACGCGCTTGGCGATTGCATTGGTTGGTGTAGGTGGAGTTGGTAAGACCTCTCTTGCTAGTACTGTCTACCAAAGTGAAGAGGTTCGACGACACTTTGATCTTCGTGCTTGGATCAATGTGTCACAATCATGCAGCTTCGAGAATCTTTTCAGGCGTTTAACAAAGATGATCTGCGAAGATGGAGACTCGAGTGAGGAGGAAATGGACACGATGCAAGAGCAAGAGCTAATTAGTCGCTTGAAGCAACTTTTGTCCCCAAAGAGGTATCTGATTGTTTTCTATGATGTCTGGCGACTAGATTTTTGAGAAGTTATGAATCACGTTTTTTTTTTTAGATTGTAATAATGGTAGTAGGATAATCATCACAACACGTAACAATGCGACTGCTGCTTCTTGTGATATTTTTGAAGTGTCTACAACCTCTTTCCAAAGAAATGGCTTGGGAGTTATTTTGTAAACAGGCTTTCGTGTTTGAGTTATTGGAGTTGTCGCTTGAAATTGTTAGAAGATGCCATGGCCTGCCCCTTGTAGTTAAGGCCATTGCTGATTTTCTTCTGTCCACCAAAATGAGCATCGTGGCTGAATGGGAAATTCTGCTAAACCATTTGAATGAAGGTTTTAGAGAGAACCCCCGACTTAATTCAATAGTGTCAACAATTTTTCCCGCAGAGTTTTGACGATCTACATTCCCATATTCGACTCTGTTTCTTATACTTTGGTATCTTTCCCGAGGACTTTCTTATTCCCGATCAAAGATTATTCGAGATGTGCATTGCCGAGGGTTTTGTTAAAGGAGAGATTGGCAAGGCGTTGGAACAAGCTGCAGAAATGTACTTGACTTGAATGATCTCGTAAATAGAAACTCGGTCCAAGTCTTACATATAAAGTATGATGGCGCTGAAAGAATGTAGAGTCCATGGTTTCATGCATGAAGTTCTTGCATCAAAGGCCAAACAATTTGAGATCTGCCAGATTTTTGAGGATAAAGAATCTACATCATTAGTAGATCCCGAAAGTCGTCGGCTGTCACTCCACGGTGGAGCAATAAATACTTTGGAAATCACTGTTGACCAGTCCAGGGTCCGTTCTATTTTTCTTTTTGATTTCCAGGGAACAATAATGACAAGATCTTTGGTGGTTAGTTTGTTCGGAAGATTCAAGCTTCTAGAGTAGTTCGATTTCGAAAATACTCCACTAGATGATCTCCCAATGGAAGTGGGAAACTTATTCTTCTTGAAGTGCTTGAATTTAAGGAATACAAAATTGAAGAAGCTTCTAAAGTCTCTGGATCTGCTACTCAATCTACAAAGCTTACATGTTAGAAATACACTGATTAATGTGCTACCAATCGAAATCCAGAAGCTCCGGAAACTGAGACACCTTTTGGCCAGCTCTCATAGTGGCAATGTTCTCTCATGTTCCATTCGTGGAGCAAGGATCAAGGAAGGGATTTGTTCTTTGGAGAACTTGTAAACGCTAATGACTGTGGAAGCACAAAAGAGTTGAAGAAGTTGAGACAGTTAAGATGTTTGAGCGTTTCAAAATCGGATGCAGGCATGGCGACCACTCTCTTCACGATTGAGAAGATGAATCACCTAGAATCCCTAGTTTATACTCATCCAATAATCTTCAAACTTTTCGATTTGGAATCCATTTCAGCGCCACCGCCTTTTCTAGGACGCCTCATCTTTAAGGGTCGTCTAGAGAAGTTGCCAGATTGGACTTTGCCGCTTCAAAACCTAAGCATATTGGGTTTAAGTTTCTCAAGATTAGTGGTTGACACCTTAAAAAGCCCTCATGCGCTTGCCCAACTTAGCATATCTTTTGCTTCATCGAGCATGCGATGGTGAGCAACTTCATTTTGAGGAGGGCAGTTTTCGGAAGCTCAAGCAACTTGTTTTGACAGAGTTGCATGAACTAAGGATGATACAGATGGAAAGAGGAGCATTGCAAACTATGACATGCCAACCCTAGTATGCAACCAAATGGAGGCTCGGATTATTGTAAGGTTCAACACATACTCTCTGTCCTTTTCTGTTAAAGAGTTCAAGGAAGACGTTATATTTCATACACGTTTGGGGAGATTGTTATAACCCTTGGGTAGAACTCATCCCCAAAAGCTAGCCCATACTTTAGCAATGTGGGATTCAATCAGGATCCTAACATACTACCACGCTTCCGACACCGACATCCACGGCGGCCCACTCTGGATGGCCCACTTTGGCCTTTCCAGGTCGCCCCTCTCTAGGTCGCCCCTTCAGCAACGTGGGCCTGAGGAGAGGCATGCTCTGATACCAATTGTTATAACCCTTGGGTAGAACTCATCTCCACAAGCTAGCTTGTAGGGAGAGGGTGCCCAAGTGGTTATAAACTCACATGCTAAGCCCATACTTTAGCAATGTGGGACTCAATCAGGATCCTAACAGAGTCGGACTTGTTAGACCATTTATAGGGTTTCGCTACAAACAAAAATGTCGTCGCACAACATGACCTTCAGTTCAATTTTTGTTTCGGCGACGGAGAAGAAGAGTCTGCTTCGACCTCAATTGTTCAACATAACGATGTCAATCGGTTGAGTTTCTCTAGTGATGGGTTTAGTATCTTTCACTGATGACATTGAGGACTGATTGAAGATGTTCAGGTTTGTTCCATCATCTATGTTTCTTCTTAGGAGCATTCTTTTAACTTTGGTTTCTATTCTATTTCTATTAGGCCTTGTTTCCTGGTTAAAAATTAAAAAAAACATTTGCTAGTATTTCAGGGTATTGACTATGGATTGAAAGTGGTAATTAATGTCACAATTGTTAATTTGCTTCTAATTTTCCTCTCTTTTTTCAATTATATTTTAGGCTTTTATTGGTAGCCAAATACCTCAAGCATTCTAACTTACGGACCAATATGGAGCGGATTTTGCATGAAATTAATCATCCAAGATACTAAGATTGCTCCTTGACTTCCCATGTGATTTGTGAATGTGGTTGATCGATGCTGCTCGTGACCATGTTTTGGTCTCCCCTGTATTATCTTGAGCAAATATCAACCAAGTAAATCCTTCTTTTGCAACTTTTCTGTTTTATGTTATATATATATATCTGAAGTAGTCTTTGATATATTGTAGTGATTTGTAGCCAACTTGCTATAATTGTGTTTGCTTTACTCACTCCTGTCGTGTTCTCTGTTAACACATCTCTACCACTAGCAGAATCGACCTATAAATGCTCTCTCTCCTACATAATAGGGATCGATTTTCATACTCTCTCCTATTTTAATAGGATCGATTCTCATTATCCGTCGTGAGATTGTAATTATGCCTCTTATTAACCCGTCAAAAATGATTTAGATTTATTTGATTTTACACTCTTGACTAATGTGATTTTTACACTTCTTGAATGCTAATTGATGAAAGCATGGGTAGGTTTTTTTTATTCCACCTACAGTCTCAATCAGTTGTCAATTGACCGAAGACGACATTACTAGTCTCCTTTTTTAACTAGAAAGACTTTTTTCTAGTCGACTTAGCTATTGAGACTTAAAAATCTTGTCCTTTACATATAAATAAATATATATGTATATATATTATTTTGAAAGTTGCTCAGACCCCTAGTTTAAATAGATCACTTCTTATACAAAACCGAAACGTGTAATTTTTTTTTTTTATAAAAAAATAAAGTTACTTGAAGAACATGGTTAGATGTTTGGAGGGCGTATTTGTACGTGTTTAAATTTATCGATAGCAATCAAATCAAACTTGAATAAACGGGATCAATCTTTATAACCATTCTGTAGATAGTGATCAATCTTCTTGCTTCAAAAATCTTGCACTAATTCACAATACGTATTTGCAAGAACCAACTTTGCCGAGGAAATTTACTAAAACTGAACTTCACACGAACACACCCGTTTGTAGTATAGGGTACAGAGTACATAAAGATTGCAGCAGCTAAGTTGCAATGTTGTTAATTACTTCAAAAGATACGGGGAAAATATGATTAATTACCAAAATTAAAAAGTTAAAGGGAGTTTGCCAACGCAAATGAAAATAAGGGGAGTAAATAATCCCAATATTATCAATGAATATTTGAAATTAAATGAAAACATGCCCAACAAAGAAGAAAACGTTTTAATTTCAACACTTACAAAATACAAAAGTTTAGACAAGGCGGAGCATTATGTAAAATTTTACTCTTCACTAAATGGACTGACTGATTTCATGAGTCAAAAACGTAGGAGGAAATGGCCAAGTGTGATTCAAAGTGCATATTTAAACGCGATCGAAAAGCATTTAAGGGATAGTTATCAATCATCAACGCTACACCAAGACATGCGTCTTTTGACACTTAATCACAAAAACAGAGAACCATGATCGAAAAGTTTGAGAATTTGCTACTTAAACATTCATCAATAAAACAAGACAAGATTGTTTCAACTAAACAAAATCACCATCAACAAATAGAAAATTGAAGTGACTTGTCTATTGGAGCAAAATTGAAGAGAGAAACTTTAAATCTAAGATGTATCTGCGACAAAATTAACATAATCATGTAGGGCATTTCACCAGATCTTCCGACGGGTCATGTGAAATTTTGTTTAGGCAGCACCCTTCCCCTTCTTCCTCTGGAGCTTCTTCATGTAGAATTCCAACTCTTTGCCCTCCAAGATATATCTGCGACAAAAGCAACATAGTCATCACCAAGGATGTAACAAGAACAAGCATCACCATTCCCCTTGTATAGAGTGGATAGAACGATGGAAAACAAAACCGAGACAGTGATTAAAAAACAATTATTTCAACTGACGTCAGTTTATCTTAATCATCATTCACTTGCAGTAATATGTTTAAAAGAAATATGCAAATTGTTGAATCTCTAAGCATTTTGACTTAATGGTATTTGCATACTTGCAAACAACTTATTATATATGGACATGATTATAGGACGTCTTCTTTCTCTATATATATCTGGGAATGGAATAATTAAAAGTAGAGAATGTACCCATCAGCCCGACCACACTGGCCAGGTCGTGAAGAGATGCAAGCTAACAGACGCCCACTGCTGAATTGTTCTTCAATGTGTGCATCAAGAACCCGGTTTTGTTGACGCTTCTCGAGCTTTCTCAACACATGGCTGCTCTTCTTGGCCTCCTCAGTGGCAGCAGCAGCAGCATCACCCTCCTATCAATTAAAAACTAGGTCAAACACTGCAACAATTTTCCATCCAAGCCATATCTCATTGAACACATTCAAACTTCTTCACCAAATAATATCTCTACCTAAACCAATCATCATTTCCAAGACCCCGCATCAAATCAAACACAAAAAACCCAAGACAAACCTTAGTAAAGACTTATAGCCGTAAAATCCAAATCTCTGTGAAAAAATTCTAGCTTCTTCTTAACCAGATAGAAACACTACGCAGGACAATTACGTTTTCCCAAGCTCATTTCATCATCATACCAAAGATCAAAAAAAAAAAAAGAAAAAAAAATAACATAGGTAAAAGATCCATTAATCATTTGTCACATCTACCCATCTTAGAATTTAGAATAAACAGATTCATAGCACAACTCCTGACTTGAGTATACTAATAAACAATACCTAATATATTTCAGTAATACATATGATAATTATTACTACATTTTAAGTAATTATAAACAAGTAATTGTTTTATCCCATTAGCCAAATTCCAACTTCTTCACCAAATAACACAACTAATCAGACCAATTACACATTCCAAATCCACTTCATCTCATCATAAACAGTGACAACATTTTGTAAACAAAAAATAAACAAAAAAGGGAAAAAAAAGCAGTAGATTACCTGAGCAGCAGCGGCAGCAGCGGCAGCAGAAGTCTTCTTCTTCCTTCCGATATCAACGCCGTAGTGCTGGAGATACCACTGCTTAAACGGCGCCGCATCGACCTGAACAATGGCGCTCTTCACCAGAGTCTGAGTACGGACGAGCTCGTTGTTCGAGGCATTATAGACGACATCGAGAATACGAGTCTTCCTCGTCACGGCCTCGCTTCCCCACGAGTAGTTCCCGGTGTCGAGCCTCAGAGCCCTCCACTTCACGTTCCCTCCTCTAACCCTAATTCTCCTCACAGTCTTGTCGCTCGACAGCTTCGTGTTCGCCGATTGCCTTCCGAGCTCATACCTGAAGAAAGAAAAATCACAAAAATGGATAAAAAAATCCATGCTTTAACGAATCAAAAGTTGTAAATTAGGGATTTTTTTTTTTTTGCTTACTTTCTCTTCTTCCTCCAAGCTTTCTTCTTGCCTCCAGTGGCGCGCCTCTTATGCATGGAATCACGAGAAATACCTGCGAAATCATGGCGAAATTCGAATATTAGCAACGAGATTGGGGGAATTTTCAGATGAAGATCGGAAAATTGACAAGCTTTAGAGAGAGAAAGTAAAGTACCCATCTTGGCGGTGTTATGGCCCTAGGGATTTCTCTCTGCCCCAATGGACTGACTGCCAAGTGAAATCTGCAGAGAAGGCTGCTAGGGTTTTTGAGAAACAGAGAGAGGGAGGAGTTAAAGGAGGAGGCGAGAGTGTTTATGCTAACCCTAGTAAACGAAATGACTTTTATGCCCTCATTGTGTCGCTTAGGAGAAGGGTATAATTGGTCAAATAAAGATCTGTCAGGGTTTCTGCAGTATCAACGGCTGAGATTGGCAGATCATCTTTCTTTCATCGGCGTGAAACGGTGCGTTTTATTCTCAATGCCAATGGATAGTTTTTGGGCTGCTGGTGATCCTTGGGCTTCTCAATTAAGCCCAAAAATGCTGCAGTAACTAAAGTCAGCCCATTATTCAAGACGAAAAGACCAAATACCCCTAATTGTCTTATGAAATTTCACATGGAATCTCTTTTTCGTCACCAACAGCATAAATACTGTAAACTATAGAACCCCATTGTTTAATGTGTTATTATTATGATTTATTATTACATTATATATATATATATATTTTTTTTTTTTTGTAGAAATTTGCAAGTTGTAGTAATGGGAAAAGAGAAAGAGGGACGTTGTTATTATTCCCATAACAAGCATCTTCTTGTTTAGCATTAAAAAAAAAAAACAAAAATCTTAGAAACCCACTTGAGATTTCGACCAATTCTATGATGGAGGAGGGATTTTTAACACATTGAGGATCAAAAGATGGGATTTTCAATGTTGGCTTCATTGGGTTCTCATGTTTTTGTTGGGAATTCTTATGGAAACAATGTTGTAAAGTTGCAATATTTCAGTGAAATTGGAAGAAATCGCATTTGTTTCAAGCTTCCCAGGTTTGGGCGTCTCTCGGGACAAGCAATTTCGAGCAAGTTTGAGTCGTATGAATTTGAAGAAAGAACAAGCCCAACTGAGGTAAACTGAGTATAAAGATTCGACCTTTTTTTGGTTTTTGGAAGTGGGTTGTTGGTACTTTAGATGTTCATTTTTTGTGTTTTGGTATTTTCTGATGCTAGATATTGTAATTAAACCATGAGTTTATTGGGTTTAGACTTTAGACTTTTAGACCAGACTACAAATATGTTTTAAGTTTACCCTTTTTTCCAATTGGTGAGAATTTTGGCTAGTGAACTGGTTTTAATGAATGTGGTTTGCATAATGCTTTGATTAAGTTCATAGTTCTGTGTTAAGAATTAGACGCCTTGATTCCATACTAGCGAGAGCAATAAAATCGGAGAAGAAAACTAAACAAACAAGAAAAATTGTCGACTCGTGCTAGCTTCATGTAAGAATAATAGTTAGGCTCAACTGAACATTATACTCTACTCTGATTTGCAAACTTTAATAGTCTCTGTCATTGTTTGAAAGGTCAAGAAAGAAATAGAAAGATGCTATGAACTCATAAGCAGACTTGGGAGAGGAGTAGTGTATTTGGGGTCTTCAAGGATAGGACCTGGTCACTCACATTACTCACAGGCACTAGAATTGGGTAAAGAGGTAAGTTTATTTATTTATTTTCCTACTTTTTGTGTATGAACACACATCTATATAACAACAATATATTTGACTTTTTTTTTTTGGATCATATTTTCTTATTGAACAGATTGCAACTCTTTTGGACTGTACATCATGGACGGGAGCTGGCCCGGGGCTAATGGATGCTGCTACAAAAGGTGCTTTACAAGCAGGAAAACCGGTTGGCGGGTTCAAGATTGGTAAAGAAGCCGGTGAATGGACGACGTCGAATTTCCATCCCTACTTACCATTAGAAGTATATCTTACATGCAGGTATACAGAGTCCACTGCTAGAAAGTTTACCGGTAGGCGGGGTCCTTTGCATTGTGTATGGTAAAAGTGCGGAAAATACTTTGCACAAACATCAATACACATTTGTAGTTATTTTGAGAAGCTGGATTTGTAAAAGTAGAACCTCTTCCAAAAGCACATCAGTCTCAAACTAAGCCTTTATATGCTTCATGATCTAGGTTTTTCTCTGCTCGGAAACATGGCCTTGTTGATGCTGTGGTGAGGAATAGTAGTAATGATCGAACTGCTGTCGTTGCCCTTCCTGGTGGGGTAGGGACTCTAGATGAGATCTTCGAGATATTAGCATTGATTCAACTGAAGCGAATTGGTTCGGAACTACCAGTTCCATTTTTGTTGATGAACTACGACTCATATTACTCGAAGCTGCTGGAATTTCTTGATGATTGTGAGGTCTGGGGTACAGTCTTTGATGGAGAGGTTGCATCTCTGTGGAAGGTTTGTGATAACAACTCCGAGGCTTTAGCTTATTTGGCTGAATTTTATGACCTGCATCTTAGTGACAAAGTTAGACATGCAAATGAATTGAGAAGTGCACATGAAACAATTTCTTGATAGGATTTTTCTGCAACCTATTTGGGATGTATCAAACCGTTAAGAACTCAATAACATGTGGAATCTGGTTCATCATTGAACTAATTATCTTGTTTCTGAATGATGTTTCATTACACATATATTATATACTCTATATTCTTGAACTAGACTAGTGAGACTTTTTATATTGATATTTTTAAGCCAATAACTTATATGATATGCCGGGCAAAGTCCCGTTCCATAATTCACTGTGGACTAAATCTGCAGGATCTCTATACAAATTAATATTAACTATGAAGTGCAGGACAGATTGCATAATTCACTAAAATATATCTGAAAATCCTTGTAGAAAACTGTAGTTACTTATCAAATTAGTATATAATTTTTTTTCGCACTCATTAATTTACTGGGGAACAATTCAATGGAATCTCTTTACATGTTGAGTCTCTTTTCAAATGATTTCAAACACAGTATAGCCTTTTGCTCCCACGGAATCTCAATAAGAAAATTGTAGTTTTTCGCCAAACTAGTGTAAAATGTAAATGTGGCTTGGCCTCGTTTATTTTGCCGATTCGAATCATAACTCAAAAAATTCAGATACAATTTTTTGTGCTACAGTGTTTTCTCTCACGAAAATTCAAATTTAGCTTTTTGTGCTACAATGTTTACTTTCGCATGAATTCACTTTTCAACTCGAATTGGTGATACTTGAAGGGTTTTGGTTACTTTCTTCCTCCATCAAAACTGGTAAAATGACATAATATATTACCGAAGTTTGCTGTTACTTCTATTACTCATCAGTTTGTCTAAATAACCACAAGCAACTTAAACGTGTGATTGCCATTTTTATAGTATTCTTTATTCATCAAAAAATGGAACAAACAGTCTAATTCGTTTTTTTTTTTTTTTTTTTTTTTTTGCGCTTTCCTGGGAAATGCCGAAATAGGTAATGAATCAATGAATGATATTGAGAACAATAAAGAGAAAAATAATAAATAGCAAAAGGGAATTAATCACGTGATTAAAATCCGCACTTGTATATACTATATGTGTTTATAGTTTAAAGAAGTTGTTGATCCCCCTTAGAAACAGAGAGGTCAGTTACAACCCTTAAACTCTCTTAACAACGAGAAGTAAATTGAATGCCTAACTTCTTCTCCTCAAATAGTTGGAGAACTCAAACTCGAAAAGCACTTATTTCTCCATGCCAATATTTACATGTAATAGGCATGATAATAATATATGCATTATAATAAATTTGATATAATAGGCATGTACAAGCCAAAAACTTGATATTTTTTATTGCTCACATGATGGGGCACTGTTTGGAATCTCTGGAGTGTGGATCATGATAGGGATCCATAGGCGGTGGCTGGTGCTGAAAACCTGGCTCATAGTATGTGTGGTGAGAAGGCGGCGGTGGCAGCGGCAGTGGCGGTGTTGTTGGTTCATAGTGAGAGTATCCAGGGCTATAGTGATAACCATTTTCGTCGACGAAAGCTGTTGTACCATACTGATGATGCCCAGAGTCAACTTTGAGGAGTTCAGCATGTTTCCCAGCTTTTTCTAACAGCTTCAAAATTTTGTGTGGATCGATTCTTCCAGAGACACGTGCAATTCCCGTTTGTCCATCAATGGTGTAAGAGACTTCTGCAAATAAAAAAGGCAAGAAGATAATACAGAGAGATGAAACCAATCAGAAAAGAAAAACACTCTTTTTATGGAAGAAGCGAATCAGAAATGTAAGAGAGAGAACTTTAACTCCCAGGTTTGAACCACAACTGTAACTAAAAAATCTTTTTATTACAGTATTTTCTCTCACGAAAATTTAAATTTCAGTTCAAATTTTTCTGTTCAAACTACATGAAGAACGGGCTCGAAATGTACCCTTGATACGGCCAAACATCTTTGTCAAGGTCTTGTGCCATCCGCGGGATTTGGTGTTCACTTTCAGTTCACAACTCTGCCAGTGCCAAACCATGATCAAGAAATGATAAATACTACTTATGACAGAAGGAAACGTTACCCAGAAAAAAGGATATACGTATTATATATATTTATACATATATATACATATATATATATATATAGAGAGAGAGAGACTAACCATGTAACGAGTGGAATCCATTGATACAAATTCACTGTATAAAGAAAACAAAAGATTGCTTTTTTGTTTCTTCACTTAAACTTGGTGCTTGAACCGATGTTATTGAGTGGTGAATAAAAGGGTTGGTTTCTGTTTCTTGAATAGCAAAATGGATTAAACGAAAGTACACCTTTAAACAAAACTGCTTTAGTGAGTTGGTGTTTGTATAGACAAATTTAGACATGGATTAAGGGATTTTTTTTTATAAGAAAAAATTTATGAAGATTATTTACTGAGTAAACGCACCTATATAACTAGTAAGGTAAGTCTTTTGGCATATTTTTTTTTTTTTTTTTTTTTTAAGTTTTATTTGAATGCGTCATGATTTCTTTGTTTTTGGGATACTTGCGAATCTGAATAATCCAACTAACAAAATGTACCCATAACTAATAAGGTAAGTGTTTTGGAATATAAATATATTTTTTTCTTTTAGTTTTCTTTTCATGCCTCATGATTTTTTTTTTTAATGTTTGTTTTTGGTATAATAATCTGACATTATCCATTTTCCTTTTCTGCTGCCGTTTTTAGTGTATCATCTCTTGATTTATGGCATTGACGTAGCAAATTTGATGTATTTTATACACAAGCAACTACCCAAAAATTGGATTAGCAGTTGATCAATATTTATTAAGAATCAGCAGTTTGTTTTTTAAAGGATTAAGGATAAGCAGTTGATGAACATTTTAACAGCAAAAACAGTCAAATGCTTGATAAGGAAAAGGGAGAGGCATTGCCATTTTAACGTCAATCAATATGTTCTTGCTCATATTAACTTTCTAAAAGAAGATTAAGCCATATCAATTGAAATCAGTAATTGATCCGTAATAATAAACATTGCAAAAATGATCAAACTAGATTAACCCTTTTTTTCGGTTCCTGTAATATATCACATTGGAAAATGGATCTGTAAAATCTATTCTCCTTATTACCACTTTAACATGAAGCTATTTGGGAAATCCTACTCGCTTTTTTTTTTTCATTTTTAAAAAGGTTTTTTGCCTTTTTTTTTTTTTTGGCTCATTGCTCCTTGAACTTTGACTGAATTGGCAAATTTTCCTTTTAATTATGGTAAATACCTTTGCATTTCACAAAATATTCAAGAGTACTCCAAGCTCGATGAATGGTGTTAATAGTTAATCGGGAATGCCTTCTTACATGCGACATACATGATGTGCTCCAATTGAAATCCAAAAATTTCAGTCTCTTTTTTCAAACGAACTCATGTAGCGATCACGAGGATGTTTTCGTTCATATTTTAACATGTAAAAACCGTCATCATCTTGGACAACTTATAAAATTTTGTTAACTTCCCGGGACAAGCCTTCTTACTTGGTTGCAATGCACATGAACTTCAGTTGGCCAACAAAATTTGAACAATAGATCTTCAAATTAAGAGCATGTCACAGAATGAAGAATGGAAAAAGCAAAACTTCATAGCTAGCAGATGAACTCCGACAACAACTTTACAAACTACACCGCGGTCTATCTTAACCAACCCCATCTTACCAAATGAAACAAACAAACAAAAAAAGAAGACAAAAAAAAGGATACAAATAAGAAACGCATAAAGACCACTAATTTCTCAGCGGGCTGTGGGGATGGCACCCTTGTCGCGTTTCTGTAAAGACTTGCAGAATGAGGAGAAAGCCCCTTTCAGTTCATTTGGGAGCGGAAATTGGAGAGGAAGTGCCATTGGAGGATGGATATCGTGGCGCTGACTTTTCGTTCTTGCAGAGAATGGATGTGCCAGAGCTGGCTGCTGCTTATTAAGGCCTTCAATGATAAATGAGAATGCTCCAAAGGTAAGGCAGCTCTGCAGAAGGGCCTGGGGTGCACCTGCAAAATAAGAGTTGAAGAATTTGCTCGATAAATGTACTTTCAATCCGAGAACTTGCCATAAACTGTGTACACTTGATAAGTAAGATGTCCATGAATTCCATTACTAAAATATTTACAGGCACATACAAGCATGAAAAAGAGCAATTACACAAAATCAATTCAAACACGCTTCCAAGGACTGAAAACAGAATTCATATAACCTATTTTTATAAATGTTCCTGATGAATATATAAACAACAATGACGCTTTCTAGCGAAGATGATACTTACCCGGAAAACTGAGAGCAAGACCTGTGCAACATCCAGCTACTCCAGCATTAATAACTGAATAGGAAGAAAGATTGATCATTATAATTTTAAAAGACATGCAATGTTGAGCACCAATTCTACAGTAAAATACAGTACCATCGTCCTTTCCTCGAATCCTCTTCAAAATGCAGACAACCAAACTATGAACTCCAGACAAAACTGCAAACGTCTGAAGAGGGAAAAAATGATAAAGAGAATCTCAATATAAGCCAATTAAAGAATTCAACTCCAATACTTGATCAAATACTATCAGCCAATTAAGGAATTCAACTCCACTACTTGTTCAAAATACTTTAAAGCTCCTTTGGTAGGAGGGGAAGAGTGGAAAAAGTGCTAGGAGTTGAGGACTAGTGGAAGGCTTTTACGAACTATGGTTGTTTGATAAGAGGGAATAGAGGAGAGAATTAAATGAGGGATTTCAAAGTTAAAGAACCTAAATTTTAACCTATCCCAATATGGAGATATTAGAGGGGGGAATCCAAAGCAAACACAAATAAGACAAAGATTCCCCTTTCCTCTCCATTTTCTTCAATTAGGTTATACTTTATTTCCTTCCTATTTTCTTCCCTTCTTACCAAACACATAAACAAGGATGACAAATGGGATTCTTCGTACCTTGGCAGAGGATCCTGCCTCTGAAAATGATCCTTTAAAGCCCTTTTTCTTTACAAGACCCGCACCTGAAACACATTCATATCAAGTCTCTCAGCAGCTGGTATTACCATGATATCAACTATAAGTTTTTTCCCCTCTCTTTTTTTCGCCATAACATATCAAGCTCTAACTTTCTAAGTAAAAGACAGTGGGAAAACGATGCAACATCGAAAAATAAGCTCAAGAATCATGTAGAAAAACAAGAAATCATACGCAAAAACTAGTCCTTTACCCAGTACTATTTACATTCATAAGAGTATCAAGATTTTGTAATCCAAACCCCAAATGTCAAATTTACAAAAACTTGTACCTCACTAGTAATATATATCACTTCCGACATTGCTACAAACATAGAATTAGAAATCCCTAACAAAAAAATAAATACATACATAAAGGCCAGAGCACTAATTTTCATTTTCCTCAAACAAATACAACTAGCCTTATCTACCGAAAAGTACAGAAATTTGAGTTACAAGCAAAAAACTAACAAAATTTTTCAATTTCCTGAAAATCCACAACACAATTTCACATAAATAGAATAGAAGAATTATTTACTTAAGGAAATTATCATCATAAACTCAAAATGACCCAAAAAAAATCCAAATTCAACCAAACAAACCACTTAAAAAAATCACCAGCACTAATGTCCATTTTCCTCCTCATCTCCCGAAAAAGAACCAAAATTTAAGGTACATTAAGCAAAAATAAAGAAACTATTTCAACGTACTCCCAACAATCCACATCGCAATTTCACAAAAAAAGCGGAGGAAAAAAACCCTTAATACAATCGAAACCAATCAAACCACTTAAAAATCAACACGAGAGAGAGAGAGAGAGAGAGGGAGGGAGGGAGAGAGAGAGAGAACCGTAGCCGAAGATGGAGCCCATGAAAGCGCCGGCGGCGGAGTCACCGGCGAATCTGAGAAGGCAGACGGCGGGGCCGGAAGGAACGAGCGCATTAGAAGGATTGGAGGTAGGTTTAGGGTTTGGAAAGGTATCGAAATCGGTGTCGGAATCGGTAATCGGAGAAGCGGAGGTCGCAGCCATGGCTATATCTATCTGCTAAGCTAAGCTTAGTGGAAAGAAATCGAAAATCCAGAAAGCGCACACGTGACACGGGACAAGGCGGTCTGTATTGTTTGCATTTTTGTGTCTCTTTTTAAGGTAATTTGTACCGTTAGTCCCTTAATTCTTTAATAAGTGGTACTTCAATTTTTTTTCTTTTGATTTTTGCAAAACAACCTCTGAATTCTCAAAACTTCCATTTAGTTTTAATTTGAGTTGAGATATGACTTTATGTAAAAAAAATTTTTGTAGCAAAAAAGTTAAATGTAACTGTTTCTGAGATTTTTTACTATAGCAAAACTCGAATCGGTGAAATGAATAGGATCTAAACCTTTTCGGTCAATTTATGTTGAGTTTTTAACAGTGATGCTCATCACGTACTAGGCACGTGCTTCAGTATGTGAGGGTATATCAATAAAATAATAATAATTTATAGATTTAACAAAAAATCAATCCTTATAAAAAATTCTAACAGAAAATGCTATTTTTCTGACTAAGAGTTGCAGCAAAGACTTCTTCACGAAGTACTTCTTCATTTACTCGATTCCAAAAGCAAAATGGTTTTTGCTACAAAGTACACATTAACTTGGGCTTTAAAATATGCTTCCTTTAACTACTTGGTTTTTCCTTTGAAATATCGAACCAAACAGTATCGTAAGATTTAGGCTGCGTTTGGTAGATGGATCTGTAATTATGATTCTAGATTCTAATTCAGAATTAGTGTTTATTTATAGTGATTCTAAATCAGTGTTTGATTTGGATGATTCTGAATCATGATTCAGAATCTGATGTGATATTTTAAACCAGAAGCACTCATGATTCTAAAACCAATCCCTCTTGATTCAAGGTGATTCAAACTCCTGATTTTTAATCATAGTTTTTAAATCATGATTTGAACCTATAATCATGAATCATGATTTTAGTTCAAGAATCATGATTAGAATAACCTTTATTTGAATCCTCACAACAAATGAAGCCCTAGGCTGTGTTTGGTATGAGGATTCGTGTCATGATGTGGCTCGTTAGAGTGTTTTCTCTCAAAAAAATACACGTAAATTGAGAATGATTCTGAATCCATGAACTAAATGTCCACTTAGTTTTTCCTTTGAGTTGCAGACCTGAGAGAGAGAGAGAGAGAGAGAGAGAGAGAGAGAGAGAGAGAGAGAGAGAGAGAGGAGAGAGAGAGAGAGAGAGAGAGAGTGAGTGTGTGTGTGTGTGTGTGTGTGTGTGAATTTGCACTGTGGCGGGAGAGGGAGAGGCGGTGAAATCTAGGTGATGGTCTGCCTTATGGGTTCGCGAAGAACTGGGTTCACGACAATCTGTCTTCATTTCGCTGAAGAGAGGGAAGACACAATGAGATCTAGCTGCCGACGTTCTAACTTTGCTGAGATCTGGCTTGCATGGGTGAGGAAAGGGCTTCGCGGAATTGCAACAGAGATCTGGGCTTTCGCAGCAAAGGTAGGTTGTGATGGCTTTGCGTGGTTGGTCGCACGGAATGGTGGGTTTCACCAGAGAAGGAAGGGAGGAATTGGGTAATGGTGGTTCACTAATTCTCACTAGTCTTTGCCATGGATCCATGGCTTTATAAAGTTTTATTTATTATTTATTATTTATTATTTTTTCTTTTTAGTGTGAGGTTTAGGGGCATTCTTGTCTTTTCATCATCATGTGATGGTCACGTGTAGAATTCCGTCAGAAGTTTAGCAAAAATAGACAGAAAGGACTTAAATTGTCAACGTTTTGAGAGTTCAGGGTTTGTTTGGCCAAAATTAAAAGAAGAGAGACCAAAGTGTCACATACTAAAAAGTTAAGAGACTAAAGGTGCAAATTTCCCTCTTTTTAAAGAATAGTTTTCGGCATGAGCAAACGACGTCGTCCCAGACATATCCCATTATATTACTAGTGCCCCTAAACTTTAGCGTCATTTTCAGTTTACCCTTATGAATTTTAAAAACTTTCACTTTACCTTTTAAACTTTGAATCGTTCACACTTAACCTTTCTATTGTAATTTCTGTTAAAAAATAGAAAAAAAGAGAGTAATGCAGTTATGTAGTCATTCTGTTTGAATTTTTGATAAAAATAAACATATTAAAATCACTAGGCTACACTTAATCCCATTTTTTTCCATTTGATTTTAGCAAAAACTACAACAGAAAGGATTAAGTAGGAACAATTCAATATTTAAAAGGCAAAATAGTAAAGTTCAAGGGGTATCAAAGTGATAATGATCCTTTCGGCTCCACAAGGGAGAAAAAGAAAATAACAATAATTTCCTCCGACTCAAGGGAGGCATTCAAGTTATAATCACGGTGTCGTGGGGGACCTTGCAAACCCTCACGTTCCGATGATTGCGCGCAAGTGGTACGCGAGCACTCGGGCCCATCAGTAAGAAAGATAAGGTAAGATAATAAAATTATGATAAGACATCATAATTAAGCATAATCAGCTCATGCATATTTATTCATGTGTACTTACAGTTATTTTGTGAGATATAGTTCCTACTTGCTGAGCGAAAGCTCAATCAGATATGTTCATGCTGTAGGTAAGAAACCTATCAGCAATTCTTGAAGGGCAATGGCGAGCGGTGGACGAATGGTGGAGATGGGAATGGATACCGCTCACGCAGTTATTTTCCGCAGTAAGTTTAAGAAAAATCATGTATATGTCTATATGATTCAAAAGTTTCAAGTATGTATGTTTAAAAAGTATACGTACATATGTATGTTAAGAAAACGAAGGTTGTAACTAACAACCCTAGTTTTGAGTATTTAAGTTTTAGAATGTTACAGTACATGCAACAAATAAATGAATTTTAAACATGACGATTTAAATGAGTAATTTTAGAAGGACTTTAAGATGTACTTGAATTTAAGATTTCTCACGAAATCCGTTTTAAAGTCAAATGAGATGGCCGATTGAAATGACTAGTTTTAGAAAAGCTTTTAATGAGTATTTAAAACAAGAGTTCAAATGCTATTCCATTTGAAGGATATTCCTAAAAGGTTTTATCTTAACTAAAATTAAGAAAAGCTTTAAGAAATTTAGTGATTCACTTATTTGAAATTATTGTTACAAATTATGAAAGTATTCCTTCTTAAATAAAAAAAAAAAAAATGTTCCGCATATTTTAAGAAACCCCAGTAAGTACAAGTTAAAGTTTAAGTTACAGTGGCGGCCTCATAGGAGGGTCGTCACATTTGGGCCGACACGATTATAGTGAGCACGAACATGACACGATTAATAAACGTATCAGAAACCCAAACACGAACACAACACGCTAATAACACGGTTAACACGACACGACACGCGAACACGATTATTAAACGTGCTGTGACGGGCCGACACGAAAAAAATACATTTATGACCCGTTTATGACCTAACTAGCAAAAATAGTGAATTGTATATTGTATTCAAAACTATATTAATTGACTACTTAATATCACTTATAGTTAAAATCATGCATAATAGCCAACACACATTAAAATATCTAAAACATCACTTATGACATATGTTTCAAAACATACCAATTACTAAACATCTAAAGAAGTTTGAAAACATAACCAAGTACATTTAAATAAGTTTGAAAACAAAACTAAATATTTGAAAATTTAAGTGCATAAACATAATCAACCATCTACAAATCCATTGGCAAATTTAAGTGCATAAAGCATAAAACATATTTAAAGTTTAGGTTTATCCATTACAAATCATCCATTGACATTTTGTAATCAACCATCTACAAGTCTATCTACAAATCATCCATCTACAAGTCCATTCGCATTTTGTAATTTTATCAACATACCATAACTTATTTAAAAGTTAGAGTGTTAAATTAAGTTAACCCCTTTTATCAAACACCCTTCATGCAAATGAGAGAATATAAATAAAACGGGCTGTGAGAGAATGAGAGAATGAGAGAGAATGAGAGAAAGAGAATTAGAGAAGCTAGGGTTTTATCTTAAAAAAAATATAAATATATATATATATATGGATTAATAAACGGGTCGGTTCGTGTCGTGTCGTGTCGGCCCGATTATGGCTCGTATAACTAAACAGGTTAAGCGTGTTAAACGGGCTGGCACGAATCCAATCCATTTATTTTCGTGTTATTCGTGCCAGCCCGTTAACGACCCAATTAATAATCATGCGGTCTAAACCCATTTATCTCGTGTCGTTTTCGTGTCATTTCATCGTGTCGTGTCCGAAATTGCCGGCCCTACTAATGGATCATAAATGAGTTTTTTTTGTGTCAACCCATCAAAGCCCATTTAATAAACCTGTTTACATTGCATTTCGTGTTTGTGTTTGAGTTCTTCACACATTTATTAATCGTATCGTGTTCGTATTCACTATAATTTTGTCGTACCATAATTGTACCAACTCGGACACGAACACGAACACGAATTACGTATTTCCATGGACGGAGCCATCCACTCAAATTTTTTATTTTTAAAATACTTATATACAAAAGTGTGAATTATATTATATTGATATATAATTAGCCCCCACTAAAATTAATCATATATTCTTCATTAGAGATATAATTTCTCCAAAAGCTCAATACACATAAAAACTACAAACTCAATCTTCAATGATCTTGATAATGAAATTAATGTACAATATTTTCAAGGTATGAAAACCTGTCGGGACAATTGTAGTATATTAATAGAAATTTATTTTGACCAAATTTTCTTTTAGTTATTAGCCTCCATAGACAAAAATTTCTAACTCCATCACAGCATATTTCGATACAACATATGATACCAAAATGATATTTTCTCCATTAACTGATGACAGTGTATCAAGGTTATGATAATATAGTTCCTTCCAATCACAAATCGAGGAATGAGTTTATAAGGTTCACAGTTCACTATTCGTCTATGACAAACGAGAAGTAATATTATATACCAAACCATTGGGATGTATGGTGTTCGTTTGCTTATTATATGTGTGTGTATATATGTATATATATTGTTGGAAAAACATGGTGAATGATAAAATAATGTCCATTGATAATGAGGAAATGATTAAATTCAGAATTTCAACAGTTTGTAATCAGCATTAATAGTGCATGGTTTATGAGCATTA